TACACCTTCTGGCTCATTCCACCAGGCCAAAGCTTCTGGACCTCAGCAACAAGGAACAGGAGATGCTGGAGGAAGAAGCAGAGAGCACCTGCATTCCACAGGTACTATTCTAAAAGCTGGTAGCTCTAAGGGATGGGAGGAGGGAGGTAATGCAACAGCCTGTGGAGGCATGTGTTGCTTGACAGTCAGTAAGGCTGAGCTGAGTAACCAGCAGTAGGGGGTCATTCCATGGCAGGAAGATGGGAAGTGCGAATGTGAAGGCAATATCTGAAATTGTTTTGAAATTATGGAGGGGCTTGGAAGTGTGGTATAATTAATTATTGGGCTATTAGAATCATAGAAACATAGAATGTCTTGGATTGGAAGGTACCCCTAAATATCATCTAGCCCAACCACCCTACAATAAGCAGGCACATCTCACACTAGAACAGATTTCTCAGATCCCCATCAAGCCTGACCTTGAATGTCTCCAGGGATGGAGCTTCCACCAGCTCTCTAGGCAACCTGTTCTAGTGATCCATCACCCTCATATTAGAGAATATTTTCCTAATGTCCAACCTAAATTTACCCTTTTCTAGCTTAAAACCATTACCTCATGTCCTATTGTTACATGATCTTGTGAACAGGTCTGCCCCAGCCTTTTTATAGGCCCCTTTCAGGTACTGGAAGGTCACTATAAGGTCTCTCTGGAGCCTGCTTCAGGCTCAACAACCCCAAATCCCTCAGCCTTTCTTCATAGGAGAGGTTCTCCAGACCTCCGATCATTTTCATTGCCCTTATCTGGACACACTCCAACAGGTCCACATCCTTCTTGTGTTGGGGGCTCCAGAGCTGGATGCAGTCCTCCAGAAGAGGTCTCACCAAGGCAGAATAGAGGGGCAAAATCACCTCTCTCCATCTGCTGGCCACACTTCTTTTGATGCAGCCCAGGATGTGGTTGGCCATCTGGGCTGCAGTTGCACATTGGTGGCTCATGTCCAGCTTTTCATCCACAAGTACCCCCAGGTCCTTTCCCACAGGGCTGCTCTCAAGCATGACCTCCCCCAGCTTGTATTCATATCTTGGGTTACCTCAGCCCAGGTGCAGGACCCTGCACTTGGCCTTGTTGAACCTCCTGAGGTTCATCTGGGCCCACTTCTCCAGCTTGTCCAGGTGCCTCTGGGTGGCATCCTGTCCCGCAGGCGTATCAGCCTCACCACCAGCTTGGTGTCATTGGCAAACTTGCTGAGGCTGCTCTCAATGCCACTGTCCATATTGTTAATGAAGATATTAAACAACACTGCTCCCAGTATGGACCCCCAAGGGACACCATTTGTAACCGTTTTACATGGGGACATCAAGCCATTGATCACTACTCTCTGGATGTGACTGTCCAGTCAATTCCTTATCCTCTGAACAGTCCACCCATCAAACCCATATCTCTTCAACTTAAATAAGGATGTTGTGGGGGACTGTGTCAAAGGCCTTGCAGAAATCCAGATAGATGACATATGCAGGTCTTCCCTCATCCATAGATGCAGTCACTCCTTTGTAGAAAGCCACTAGTTTGGTCAGGCAGGATTTGCCCCTAGTAAAGCTGTGATGGCTGTCGTGAATCATCTCCCTGTCCTCCATGTGCATTAGCCTGCCTTATAGGAGGATCTGTTCCATGATCTTCCCAGGTGAGGTGAGGCTGACAGGTCAGCAGTTCCTAGGGTCCTCCTTTCTACCCTTCTTAAAAATGGGCATAATGTTTCCCTTTTCCAAGTCACTGGGGACTTCACCTGACTGCCATGACTTTTCAAATACCATGTGTTAATGTCTTACCATCATTTGTATATCAAGTACAGCACATTCTGCTGGTCAGCATGTTGTCCCTGCCCGAGTTGGTACATGAGCCATCTGGTAAATACAAATACTTTTCCTCTCTGTTAAGGTCGTAATAAATACTTAAGAGTAACAGCTCACTAGCCGTGGTGACTATGCCAGGGATAAGCTGTTGCTGATTTTATAAGCAGAATCCATGCACTCAAGTTAATTTAATTCACCAGTATCATTGGTCACTTCTTCAATATGTTTACATCTGAGGCTGCTTTATTCAGTCAGTGTTATAAACTTTGGGCCATTTGTACATTTGGATCTTGTATTTCTTTGCTTGGAATGCTTATTCAACCCTCAAAGTTGCTCTTCTGGTTGCTCACTTGTTTTCCTGCCAGTGCTGGTCAAAGTTTCTGGCTTTGCCAGCTGGATAAGGAAATATTTTCTAGTTATCCAACATTTTATTTTAAGCTATTATAGATTTTAAGAAAATTATCAAATTTCTAGGTGAAAGACAGCTGGATTTTCCACGTGGGACTTCTTGAAGGGAGGTGTTTGGGGCAGGTGTTGGAAAACATGCCAGTTAAGTTTCTTGCCTTTGCCTGGAAGTAGAGCCCTGCTGAGTTCAAAACCTCTGAAATGACCTTTGCAGATATTGGGGGAAAAAAAAGAAAAATGAAGGTTGTACTTCCCATGCTTTATGTGCTGAATTAGAGGGCTTCACACAGTCTTTATCTGCTTGTGGTGGCAGATTGCAAAATATTTTTTAATATTTTAACTTGTCTATGCCTGAAAATATGCAAAGGCCACAGTAGAGGCTGGCAGAGCGCCCGAGGGAATGGAGTTAGTCACATTCTAGCACCAATTGCCTGGGTGATCTTGCCAAGTTTCATGTTCCAAGTTTCCTTTGAATATGTTTCAAATCCTGATTATTCTTCTCTGACCCGCAGATGCACAACCTGCCTAGCAGGAGGAAGAGAAGGATTCCAGTGACAGAAAGGCAGCCTCCTAGGCCCTGCAACTACGCCCCAGCAGCTGCAGGCCTGTCACAGACTGCCTATGGGAGACAAAAATATGGGTTACTGGTGCTCGTCATATGAAAAACAGAAACAAACAGCACTCAGAGGACTGGATTTTTTCCACATGCCATGAATATGGGGCTAAGGAACATGACATGACTGTCTGCCATGGACTATCAAAGCCTGAGGAGAAAAAGGCAACAAAAAGACCAATGAAATAAGAAGGAGCACCGAAAGTCAGGAGGAAGAAAACAAGAGGTGGTAGAAACACAGTGACCACAATGAATCACCACATTTCCAACTGTGGTAGAGGCTGTTTGCAGTGTGCACACACAGCTTCTCACAAACAGCAGCCTCTGCTTATTTAAAATATCAAAACAGACTGTTTCACCCACCTGACTCATTCTTCATTGCTTCAGCACCAGCTCCCCACTACTGCTCCCCTGCAGGGGCTAACACAATCCTCTGTGGGAGTCACTGGCTGAGCCAATCACTCAAATTCACAGTTGCAAGCTCTGGGTCCCTAAGTCATCACCCCACCACATTCCCGTGAATGTCTGCAAAGTCTTCACCAGCAGTTCCTATCAACTGTCTTCACAGGTAGCAGTAAGAACCAAGAAACGTGTTGACTTGACCAAAGAAATTTGAAAACATGTTCTCATCCCACTTACAATGCTGCTGCAAACCTTGGTCAGTACAGTATTCCTGCATTTGTTGTTTCAGTTGTGATCTGGAAGTGGAAGATAGTATGATGCCTTCCTTCCCTTCTGCTATTTTGGGGACAGCTAATGCCACCAGTTGGAGTTTCCCAGTGGGAAGTTTACTACATAGCCAGAGTCCAAAGCATCTCGTTATTTCAGATATTGGCTTTTGATGGGGATATTGGGCTGTAAGAGAAGAGATTGAGGATGCTAAGCCTGTCTTTACATATTTTTGACATCTTACTTAATTGTCAGCTTGACAGAGGAGAGAAATTATTTATATAACATTATGCTGATGTAGTGTATTCCATAGTGTTGTTGGTAAGCCCTCCATACTAAGTGTGTTCTTGTAACACCATTGTCATGAAGGACATGCACATTTTCTTTGGCAATAAACCAGATTCAGCCACTAGTTGTTCACTAGTTTACTGAGAAATAGTGTACTGAGAAATTTTATTGCATTTTGCATATTAGTATTACTTTCTACAGCTCTTTGATGTTCTGGAAATGAAAAGGCAGAAGTTACTTTGGGGAATTATCCTCTTTGCTTAAGTATAGACATCCTTAACTTGTGCCAGTTTATTACTGACAGGCTGGTGGGCATGGGCTGCCCCTGCACAGACTGCACAGGTGAAAACTTCTAGCAGTTGCTAGCAATTCCACTTCTTCTTTTGAATTTCCCACATGCATGGTCACTGTGTGTCCATGAAATATTTGCATAAGAAGCAAGACACAGATGTAACTACACCACTTCTAGTGTAACAGTACTGGAATTCTGTAGGGACTAGGAGTTATAGAGTGGCTTATGACAACTTGAGCTATTTTCTCCAGTCAGTCTTGTTCCTACATGCCCACTGTACTGGCTTGTAGTGAATGTTTTGCCCTGGAAAAAATTGATAGCACAGAAACAGAAATCAGAGTATAATCCAGCCTGCCTTCCTTCCTTCCTTCCTTCCTGATGATGATGATAAAATATTACTCATTAAAAATGCGTCCTACTTCAGCATCTTCAGATGGTAATATGCTTCCCCAGCTGCCCCAGCCCTTCTCCCACAACAGGGGCAGTCACTTATCAGGAAGGTATTAAGGGCAAAGGAAGAAGGAAGAAAGCCTATGACCAAAGCATTTGTGGATTTCAGAATAATAATGACTGCTTTTTTAGGTAAAACAGACTAATTTTGAGACTTGAAAGATATTTCAGAGACCAATGGTCATTGATAGGTTTGAGAAAATGAACTAATGCAATTTTGGAACTAGATCTGAGCACAGAAGATGATTGCAGTACAGTCTGCACTGAGAGGCTCCTAAACTGTTTGTATTGGTGGTTCTTTTTAATTCCTTTATTCCTTTATTACTATGAGAAAAAAAAATAAATCACAAAGCCTAAAAAGTCCAATCATCTGGGTTTTTACAAGAAGAACACAGATTTTTGCTTCTCCTTTAAGTCAGGCTAATCAAAGACTTAAAGAAATCTAGGTAATCTGTGTCGTCTCCAAATGAAGATTTGGTATTCAATTTTTTTCTTTCTTTTTTTTCAAAATTGGCATGTTCCTGTCTGCCCAAATCACTTGAACAAAATCCCAACCAGCACTAGTTTTGGCCATGCGAGCCATCTGTCTGGCAAGTAGAACAGATTTTTACTTCTTGAGTTCTCAAGTCTCCGAGTTAATTTTTGAAACTGGCAGCAAAGAATGAAAATGGAATGCATCTAAAAAGAACACACTTTAACCCAAAAAACATTTTGTTCTTTTTTATCCTCCAATAACGCTAATATTGACATAGGTAGCTCTGTGTCTGAAAGTAAATGGCATCACTTCCTGTAAGGGTTTCTTTTTTGTTTTCTTTATGATGTAAGTATGACTTACAAGGTAGCAGACAGCCCCAGAATGACTGTGGTACAGCTATTTGTTTTGAGACTGCTGACATAACTGAGAAGGTGTTCAGTTATTTTAAGAATCTCTGAGGTTTATCTGGTAGTAATTGGCTTGTTAGAGAAATAGATGTAAGGAAGAGGAGATCCAATTAGGTATGCAGATTTCAGTGTCCTTTCTTAACCTTCTGGGTCTTAAAACTCAAATGGAAACACCAAAAGCAAGAATTCCAGCTTAAGTTCTGTAGCAAAACTAGTCCATAGACATCAAAATAAATGAGGTATTAAAGGAGAGCAAACAGGCATCTTGTTTTGGAGTTGGATTTCCCTGTTTTGGTTGAAATGATGCAAGGAATGGGAAGAGCCAGATATCTGCTTGGGGCTCATGTAATGCTCCTCAGCTCTCTTGTCTGTGGTATTAATTTTGTACCATGCTTTGTAATAAGTTTGTAAGGTTGGCCAAGGTTAAGTTCTAATGGCATCAGCGCTTGCTTTATTCATAGCTCAGAATGCCTGTGCATTTGTCAGTAAATCTCAGCTTGCTGAGCCCTTCTCTGTGAGGATGGAAACTTTAATTGACACCAGCAAAAGTGGTTATGTTCTTTCACTGACATGGGGACAAAACCAGTTTATTATTTTTAAACTAGCTTTTAAGTTTAGCCTTTAAAATCACATGAAAAAAATGCATTTAGGCGTCTTTTTGATGAGGGAGAGAAGAAATATAGCTTGTAGTGCACAGCCGTGATATCCCTAGGAACCTTAAAATTATGGTGCTGTGGTGGTATAAGTCCCATGAGATTGTTCTACCAATAAACTGCAATGCTGTGGTGAGCTGTCTGTTCCTAGAAGTGAGAGTCTCACCCTCTCACTGCTCTGATTCAGTATCTTTTCCATGACAGAAAGCTTAAAAGAAAAAACACAACAAACAACAAAACAAATAATTGCAACATCTCAATGGCTTTTTAGAGCCAAGTAAGTTAGTTATTACTCACTTTCTAAACACTTTTTAAAGGTCTCCTTTAAAGCAGGATAAGCCAGTGGACTTCTGCAGCATGCTGTCTTTCCAGTATTGCGCTGCTGGTGAAGGTCCCTCCTCTGGAGCAGGATCCTCAGCACCTGAACGCTGATTCTGTGAGTCCTCATATGAGGAATAAGACCAGTCTATTTCCTGCAGCAGTTTTCAAGTTTTTGTGCAGGAAAAGTGTAAAGCAGGACGTAAGAGACAGCTCAGTGAACCTGACCCTCACAGGTGACTTGCTTTAGGTGCCTTCCAGACTTCTTCAATCAAAAAAATTGATTCAGATATACTGCCTTGCCATAAAAATGTCTTTCCACAAAGACTTACCACACAAAAATCCATGCATAACAGCATTTTAAAAATACTGAGCAAAAACTGATGTATGGATGTTCATGCCAAAATAAAAAGAGGCTGTGTTTGATGTGAGACTGGACTGCAGCAAGCACATGAACATCTAAAAGAACTAAATTGACCTCCCTGGACTCAGGTGATGTTAGAATCCTGTTGTAAAGATTTTCCCTAATCCCATTCAAAAGGAGACAAGGCTGGGAGTGCCTCAAGGGGATAGCTAAGCAATTTGGCGATTAGTGGGTGAACTGAGAGACTGTGAGTTGTTCAGATTAAAGACATATAGATAGGCACCAGCATAAGAAAAGGGGCATTTTTTAACATTTTACCATCTTTTGGGCTGTCTGGTTATCTGGAGTCTTGTGCCTTTTCCCAGTGTGGTCATACCACCTTTTTTGCCATGCATGAAAAGGTTAATTTTCCTGAAATTCCCTGTATGAAGGTAATAGAGTTGTTATAAATGGAAAGTCAGATAGTTGTTCACACTTCAAATCATTGTCTTAGAAAAGATGCAAGTGTAAAAGAACTGAGTGCCCTGGGCTTAAGTAATTCTGGCATTACTTGTCTTTTACCACCTTATCATTCTTTTAACAGCTATTACAAATGTACAGAAGAAACTACATCATATGCAGGTCTAGAACATAGTTTACAGAAGGATAAAAACTATTTGGATTATTATTATACTATTTGCATATTAGATAAGTCCCCATATTTCAGAGACTCCAGTCACAGCTAGCTCCCTGTTATTCCTGTTCACAGGGAGGACTCTGGGTTTATTAGAACAGCTGGATAACATGAGTACTAACAGAAAGATATGCAGTTCTTTAGAGGGACATGTGGTGAGTCCCTGTGTTGGTGCTGCCTTCAACTCAACACCTTGGGAAGAGAGACCTGGCAAGAAACAAGTTGCCCAAGACAGAAAATTCTCATTTTGTGCTGAAACAGGACAGCAAAATAGCACACTGGCAATCAGAAATGACAACCTCTGATTTTTAGTGATGCCTGTTTCTGACTTGTGGCTCTTGAGATACCAGCTCTAGATAAGGAAAAAAACTAAAGCTGTTTGAGGCTGCTCAGAGACTGTACAGTGAACCATGCAGTGCCTGGACAGGTCTCAGCAGAGGTGGTCATGAGGAGTAAGGGAGAGGCATAATGAGTGTGATTTGTTGCATGTCTTTGCAATTGTTAGTATCTTTTTAGAGCTTTGGGCAGATTTACAGGTATTGTCATGAGAGTGCAGTGACAATAGATGGTTTGAGGATTTACAAGGTACTACATCCCATAAAATATGCAATGCCTGGTGAAAACGACTTTTCTAACAAAGAGCCTTGAGTCAGTGAGAGAGCTGTAGATTTTCTGGAGTACCAGTGTGTTCATTTAGCAAACAGATGTGGTACTTACTGTACCCATCTCCCAACTCAGCCATTTGTTATCCCTACTCTGCCAAAGGTTGCTTGAAAAAGAACCAAGAGAATACTCCTTAGTTAAAAACAGCAGCTGGCGAGGCTGAAACCCCTGCATCTGCTTGCTAAGTGGATGCTTGTTTGAGCTCCTAGGCATCAGTCTTTCAGGTACTCCTGCGTATCTCACCCAGAGTCCATAAGTAACCTTTTTTATTAATTCCTGTTCTTGTGTCTCTACAGCATATAGCGATTTGGGGTATTATATTATTAATAAGCTGCACCATGTGGATGAATCAGTGGGAAGTAAAACTCGGAGGGCCTTCCTTTATCTTGCTGCCTTCCCTTTTATGGATGCCATGGTGAGCGTCTGATTCGGAATTGATTTTTCATATGAATGGGGTGTGGGGATCTGGGTGTTGGGTTTTTTTCTAACCTTAGTTTGCCAAGTTCACTACCTGATGGGAAACGGGAGGTGTGTAGAAGGAAAGTGTGTCCTTTGCAAGGAGTAGCTCTTCATACACCTAGACACATCATCTCCAGCTACCTGGAAAAAAGCATCTGGGTGGACTTTGAACATCCAGAGATGTTCATGAAAAATATAAAAAAACCTCAGCTGCATTGAACTTGGATCATTAAGTTTTCTTTTCCAGATAGAACTCAGTATAACTCAGTGAAGCAATGAGTATTACGCTTCAGAGATGCATCCAACTGGTGGATGACAGGAAACATTTTTTCCCTTGGATTATTTAGTATTATAATCCATCCTGTGCAGCATCTGTTTTATGAAGAAGGGGCAGTTTCTTATTAGATCTGCTCAGAAATTTCTATACAGTCTGTAAACTTATTTCCATTCTCCCTTTCAGCCCTGGCAATGAGGAACTGAGTACAGTAATGCTTTCCCTGCATTACTGGCTTAACAGGTTCACATCAGGTACTGCTGGTCTAAAAGAGCTTTAGAAGTTGTGTGTGTACAATGTAACAACCAGGGAACAGCATTCTGGGACCTGAAATCATTCACTAACATGATAAACGCTTCCCTCCAAACTCTTCTCTTGCCTTTTTTCAGGCATGGACCCATGCTGGGATTCTACTGAAACACAAGTACAGTTTCCTAGTGGGATGTGCCTCCATCTCCGATGTCATAGCTCAGGTAATGGCTCCTCACAGCAGTCACTGTTTCCATTGTGTTAAGATCTAGATGCTTTCTTAAGCAGAGACTCTTTTGCACAGACTGTCTTCCCTCTCCACTGTGAATAACACAGTAGAATAAGTAGTCTCGTGTGCTGTTCTCTGGCTGTTTCCCCATCTGTGGATGCTGTTTTCTGATAGTTGTGGTTTAGGCTGGTCTCACTTTGAGTGGATCAAGTCAGTTCCAAAGCAATGTCAGGAGAAGGGAACCAGGATGGTTTGGCCCAGGGTCATGCCTTCCAGCATCTCCACAACCCTGCTGCAGAATGGTTGAGAAAGAAACTATATATACACATGTACATCTGGGAAAAAGTAAGGTCAGGCAAAGAGATCCATGACTGCTACCAGTCCTGAGGCTGATGGAGTGCTTTGAAAGGGAGCTTTCTACCCCCCTGTGCATTCTCCCCCATATTTCGCACAGTTGCTGTGAAATCCTGAGTGGGGCTTGTCGGTGGGGAAGTGAAGGCTTGATTCACCCCATCACTTGTCAGTTTTGCACATGCTGTCTAATCCAGTGAAATGCAGTAGTGTAAGCCATCTTCTGAGTGGCGGTATGGCACAGTTCTTGTTCCTGGCCCAAAAGCTGAAGGCTAAGAACTGCAACAAAAGGGATCTGTGGTGATAACCCTTGGGTGATGCAGAGACCAAATGTTGTTTGAACTTTCATTTGTGAGAGAGCTGTTAAATACCCTGTTGCTTTGCACTAGATGCATTTTAAAAAAAGCATTCATACATATTGCTGATGGCCAGTGTTGTAGCATTTGAGAATCAATATACAGCCCTCTATTTAAAGCATATATAAAAATAGTATGAAATAGAGAGTCCCGGCACCTGCAAAATAGCTGCTGTGCTGCCCCCTTACCAGCTGAATGGTATAATGCCTGGGTAAGAAGGAGTATAATAACAGTACAACATGAAAGGAAATATGAAGCCAGCAGCACTTAGTTCAATTTTCCATAGCATTTTCCTCCCACTAAATATGACCAAACTATACACCAGGTTGAACCATTCAGTCAGCTGCTATTCTATGTTTGGCAGGTCTGCCCCTCTACAGTACTGCACTAAATCCCTGAAGATAATACCAATTACTGTAAATTACCTTAGCCCTCAGGATCTGCTCTTGATCTGATGTGACCTACAAAGTTCACTGACCGTAGATGCATGTCAGGTCACACACAGCTAAATACAGAAACAAAATCTTATTTTGGCCATGGTGCACATGCCCTTTCTATGGTGGTTGGTGAATGTAGTGCCAGGGCTGGGAGGAATAACACACCTGTCATCTTCTCTCAACAAAATATTGCATAGAGCAAGAACAAATCTGGAAGACAAAAAGTTGTGACTCTCCATACCCTAGAACTCCATACACCTGTATCTGCTCCCTACACAAGAAATAGGCACTCAAGCAGTAGCTAATTCTCCTTGGGTCACTTCATATTCACACTTTTTGTGACTGACTTTGCTACTGTTTGCTAAAAACCAATTCTTTTGTAGGGTTCAAAAGAGCAATTTTGCAAACCTTCATAAACAGTGTAGCCTCCTAATAAAAAATTGCACAGTGTGATCTTTCTCAAGTATTTCTTGGACTTGCAACAATGAAGGAGAGAACCTATCCCCGGACAATGTGGTTTGTATTTCTTGCAACTCACTTGAATGCCAGCATGTCTCAGCTGGATTGTTCCTGATTTTGTGGTTCACAGTAACAAATACAGTTGGCTTTCCAGTAGTGATACGGAATTTAACAGCCACACCACCAGCTCTGTACTTAACAAAGAAAATACCATACAATTGAATTCCTTTGCATTTTCCAGATTGAGAATTTAATCTTAGAAGACTGAATTATGAGCTGTTCATTAGCCCAAAAGTTTCCATTTCAATTACATCAATGTGGCACTTGGATAGCTGAAGAGAGAATGATGAAATGCTGAAATTTCACTCAAAAAAAGTCGAAAATTAGGATGACATAAGACTTCCTGCTTCTAAATGCTAAAGTGAATACTTTAAAACATCTGGCTTTTTAATTGCCGCTGTCCTTCCCTGCCCCCCAAAAAAGAAACAAAAACTGTTGGGACTTAGAAGCTGACCCTAGAAGCATGTCTCCAGCCTCAGTGTATATCAGAATAGCACATTCTCCTGGGAAGGGTGATACTCAGCCACATGCTTGCTGCCAGACCTTGCCAGACTTTCCTTCTCCTATTTATGTCTCCTAGTCTGACACCTGCCCATACTTTCAAGTACGGCTTAATAGAGCTTCTGTGTGATGTTACTCTTGTTCTTCTCATTTGTATGACCAAAGGGGCCTGACTAAAATTTCAAACATCATGTGTAGTTACTTGTTCAGATAGACCAGCTTCGAGTCAGACAGGAGACCTGTTTGCTTTAAAGAAACACAGAGACTAATTACTGATCACTGATTTGTTTGCCCTGCAGGTTGTTTTTGTAGCCATTTTGCTTCACAGTCACTTGGAGTGCAGGGAGCCTCTCTTGATACCCATCTTGTCCTTATACATGGGAGCACTTGTCCGATGCACCACATTATGCCTCGGATACTACAGGAACATACATGATGTCATTCCTGACAGAAGTGGTCCTGAATTGGGGGTATGTCTTAGTACCTGGCACTTTTTCAGATTAAATAATTTTAAACTTGTTTTTTGTGTTATAATACTGTATTAAACCACTATGCATGAAGAACCTCCTCTCTCCATCCTACAGGAAAAAACATTTTCATTTTAAAAGACATCATAGAAGCTATTCCAGCAACAGTGCACATGAGGCAATGCTTCCTGTGCTATGGGTGTGCTGTCTATAGAGCACCTCTGTGCTAAGGTCTGTACTGAGCTGTAAGACAGCACAGCTTGAAGTAAGTGTACATCTTATTTCTCAGGGAGGAAGGTCTCAAGATTCCTCTTTTCCCTCAAGTGTCATACTGTTTTTCACATATCTTTGCCTGGTAGCCAGAACAAATTATGCAGATAGATATCATACATGTTAATTATTGAGACCCATGACACAGCTTCTTTTGAATCGGTATTACTACCATGAGTGAAAATATTTTTGGTTCTTCATGCTGAAAACTATTGAGATGAATGTACCAAACTGACAGTGGATGGGAAAAGCAAAAACCCTTTCTCTGTGCTTTTAGTTCAGTTCTGCATGCTGTTTCCTAAAACCACTTTTATTTTAATATATTTTCGCTATGTGTTGCAGGGAGAGGCTACAATAAGGAAGATGCTGAGTTTCTGGTGGCCTTTGGCATTAATTTTGGCAACTCAGCGAATAAGTAGGCCCATTGTCAACCTTTTTGTCTCCCGGGACCTAGGTGGCAGTTCTGCAGCCACAGAGGTAAGAAAGTCAGTGCTCCTCTTTACTGCAAATGACCATTTACATAGAGTTGCCTCTTTGTTTTCCTTCTAAGCTGTGCTGCAAAAAAAACCCCAACACAAACAAAACCAAAAATGAAAGAAAACAAAACAACAACAACAACAAAAAAATGTGGCCTAAGTACCTTTCTGTTTAGTGCTGTCTTTGTCTTTGAAAAGAAGACTGCCTGGACTCTTTTCTATAAGGCCTAGTGGAACCTCACTCTCAAGACCAGCAGATTTTTTTTAACTTGACAGTTCCTGCATCCCAAGTTTTCATGCTCCACATATAGGTGTATATGCTCTGGAGCGTTTATATCCCAGAGATTTTAGGATGGTCATCAGGAGTCCCATGTTCTGCTGTTTCCTGTCATGTGTATCTATGGCTATGCGACTGGTGTGAAATAACTGTCTGGGCATCACACAGAAAAGGGTTGAGATGTATGGGAAGCACATTAAAAAAAATCTGTCTCCTGGTTGGGATATGAAAAATACCCTGTTTCTCTTGAGGAATTTCAGATTCCTCCAGTACTTCCCTACAGCTGGTGGGAGCTGGATTTCTTACTGTAGTGTGGAGCTCAGTGCTCACCATAGGCTGACCTGTTTTCTTAAGAAGTCTGAGGGACCTTTGCTGCCAGTTTTGGTGCGAGAATGTCTGTATCCATGTAGCATTAGCAAATCCCTCATGTATTTTTTCTATAGGAAAAGCAAAGCTGTAAGGTACTAAAGGGTCTGGTAGGAAAGGAAATGGAGCCCACAGTGGAAAAAAGGTGTTGGAATCATTAGCTCATCTGAAGTGCATCTATACCAATGCACGCAGTGTTGAGCAACAAACAAGGGGAGCTTGAAGCCATGATACACCAGGAAAACTATGACATGGTGGCTGTCACAGAAACATGATGGGATGCATCACATGACTGGAGTGCCACAGTCAATGGCTACAAGCTCTTCAGGAGTGATAGAAAGGGAAGGAGAAGGGGGTGGAGTGGCCCTGTATGTTATAGAGTGCTATGAGAGCTTGGAAATCAAGTAGAGTCATGATGAGGCTGAGAGTGTTTGGATTAGGTTAAGGGCCAATAAAGCTGATGTCGCTGTGGGAGTCTGCTAGAGACCTCCCAACCAAAGCAGGGAGGTGGATGAAGCTTTTTTTCTGTGAAGGCCTAGGGAGCAGCACATGCATGAGGACAGCAAGTCCACTTGCACTGGTGAACTCCCACTGCTTCTGTTTGGACTGCCAGCATCGTGATGGCTGCGGTACCTTTTTCGGTGTTGGATTTGACAGGGGGATTTTTTCACCTGTCAAATACTTCTGTTCTAGACATTTAGGAAAGCTTTCATGCATGTATTTTGGGATCCTACCAACTGGGGAAAAATACTGGAAGAAAAATCACTGCTGAAACTTTCAGTAATTTAATCAAAGTGGATACCATACAAAATGTGATGGTGAAGCATTGTTTCCTGGAACGCTTACTGTGTCTTTACAGTCTTGTTGGACTGCACCATGAAAATAAGCAAAATATCTTTTATATTCTTTATTTTATTTAACCTAGTCAGTTCTTACGTAGATGGAAATTCAGCTAACAATAGAATAATGAGGAAGAAAATTGCAATTTAAAAGGGTACTGCCTGAACATTCCAATTTGTTTCCTTGAACCAGTTTTTCAAATTATGATAATCATTATTAAAGCTGCAAGATTAGCAGGGAAGAATCCTTCCCCCTCTCTTCCTCTTTGTGAATATGACTGCTTTCTGTCTCTCTTTTTAAACAGCAGAGGGAAAAAAATAGCTTGTTACGTGGTTCTATATTTGCATAGATCTTTAACCAAGCAACGACAGCAGTTACGTTTATAACGGGAAAATGGGGTGAGATAACCAAGAAAATATACATCAAAAGTTTAGGAGCAAAACAGAGAAAGCAGTACTTAAAAAAATGTCTTTTGTTACACTGTCATTGCAGATTAAAAATTAATCTGAATTTAGGTTAATTGTAACAGATCTGAACTTGCAACCAAAAGGCAGTCAAACACTTCGATTTCTAGAATTAAGAGAGGCAGGCAATTGTTAGAATATATGTACATTTCAGGTCTGAGGTCTAGAAGACTTGGGGTGACAGTACATTTCCAGGAGGATGCAGGAAAAGTTCCTTAAACACCTTTCCTACATGAAGGACATGAAGTACATGTATTTGGACTTCCTCAGAAGTATCAGTCAAATCTTTCACACGACTATATAAAGGTTTTTCATGTCTTTGATGTACCACTTGGACTGTACTTGTGAAGTACAAAAGCACCTAGTTTTAAATCGCAGGCAGTGAGTTGTCTCTCATGATAAAAAATGGTCATCTGGAATTATTTTTGTCTGGTTTTCATTGATTAACACCGAAGTGGGGAGAGCATTTCTCTCCGAGGTGCCTCGTGCCCCAGATGTTGATGTCCAAAGGGTGTCAGCCACTGAGGCCTACTCTTTTGTAATCTGTCTGTCTTGGACCTGTTTCACTTACCAATAACCAAGTAAAATGTGTATAGATTAAGATTATGAAATATGATACAAAGCTACTGTGAGCTGTAAGGCTTTCTGCTGCTTGGGTGTCCACAGGTAAAATTACTCAGGAGCAATGTGGGAGGGAGGTATTCAGCTGGCTGTGGGGGACACACCAGCTCAAGTAAACTGCTGTGGTAGAGAATCAGAGTGATGAAACAACAAAGCTGAGTGATACAGCTTCATGATGTAAAAGAGATGCAGTGCATAGGGACATGGTTTAGTGGTGAACTTGGCAGTGCTAGGTTAACAGTTGAACTTGACGATTTTAAAGAACTTTTCCAACCTAAACAACTATGTGATTCCCTAAGCTTAAAATGCTGGGCCAAATGATGGCCACTTGGCCACTCTTCTGAAACAAAGAGCTTCCAGTCACCTGCCTGGTACATCATCACGTTAAGGTCCATGTGGTGATTGGTGGGAAGTGGCACCCTATGTTAGTTTACTTGTCCTGTTCAGTGATTTGAAATTCATGTTTCCTGGTCTCTTTTCGTAGGCGGTGGCGATTCTGACAGCTACGTATCCTGTGGGACACATGCCTTATGGCTGGTTGACAGAGATCAGAGCAGTATACCCTGCTTTTGACAAGGTGAGTGCCCACGTTAGAGGTGTAATAAATACCTCTCATGTGGTTTCACATCCATGGGCCTCCTCTTTTTCTTGGTTACAATATCTTAATTTATGGATGGCTTCAGTAATGCCAGAGGAATTTCTGCCAAACAAATAAGAAAAAAGGTAGTACATGGCTCCATAATCAAGTGCAGCAGATTAAAAAGTAAACCAACCAAAGATTAAATAGGGCTGCATTAATGGCCATCTATTGTTTTGCTTCTCTTTACTTTTTCTTTTGATACCTATTGTTCCTTGTCCCACTGATAAGGTTTTCTTAAAATCCTAGTTAAAATAAATTGGGTTTTGATGGCTTCAAGCTGTTGTTTGTTTTATGATTTTAACCTTAGCTTTGCGTTACAAAGTATTAAGCTACTTTTTTAATAGATATGTGCTGTATTTTTAAGGGTTAATACAAGCCCTTGCTTACTAACTGTGATGTAGCTACTTAACTGTTTTCCCACAATGTGTCCAGCAGTGAGTGAGCAAGCTCATGTCTCTTTCTCTAGATTCTTCAGTATCTCTCAGATGGATTTGGGTTCATTAATTTATGTTAATATTTAGCAAAGGTTGTTTTATAGACTGACAGTAACATAGATAACATGTTACTTTAGTAGTACTGACTTAGCTGACCAAGTCTATGAAGTTTTTTATTGGCAAATCATGTAATTACGTAAGAATGCAAGGACTATTCCTGGAACTGAGCACAAAGTAAATTTATTACCAAAATTAATCTTGTTTAGACTCTTTTTTTTTGCTCGGTTGTAGAACTGGTACTCACTAGCCCATCTGTTGTGCGAAGAACAGTCATGTCCTGTGACATCCTATCTTAAATACCAGGTCCCCCTCCTTCCCTTTTTTTACCAATTAGTAACTGAAATTTCTGGTTCCAAAGATTGATGAAAAATTTTGTTGCTTGCTCAGGGACATACTTAACTGAAGCAAGCCCCATTTGATATGGTCCTGCATATTTCCAAGGAGTATTTAAAAACAAAACAAGGAACAGGCAAATCAGTCATAACTTCCTAACCTGCCTGTGTACAGCTAAATCGACCTGTCAGATAAAAGACAACATGCAGACTTCCTCAGAGGTCATGCTGCCGAAAAAGAACTGTAGATGCAAAACCCATAAACTGCAAGATAACAATGGTTTGGAACAGGAAACATGGGGGCTGCTAACCTCATCTCTGAGCTACAATCAAATGCACTATAGCCAAGAAACACTAATAGCAAGCAAGATCCCTAAATCCAGGTGGAAGATTTGCTGACAACTTTAGTGGTAGCAGGATTAGACCATGATTTGTCTGTTTGTTTATTTCAGTTTAAAAGCTTCCTGTAGAGTTCTTGTGGAACAAATATGAGGAAGAAAAATCTAGGGTAAGGCACAGATAGGTATACTTTTATCTAATTGCCAAAGAAGTACATAATAGGGATTTTTAATTGCATGTTTTAAGAGCAATCTGGCATAAAATGTGCTATGTGAGGCAGCAGTAGTATAAAATCTATCTTGTCCTCACAACCATGTGTTCAAATGCCTCCACAGCTTCTTTCAGGCAATAAATACCAAACCAGAAACCCACAGTGCTGGCTTTTTCAACTGCTGTGAGAATTGCTTTACTCTTGGTCACATGTCATTTGTGTGTCACCATCCCTTTCAGAAGCTTTGCCTCCTTAAGCTAAGGCTTCCTCAGAAAAGTCCAGACAACCACTTTTTTTATTTCCACAGTCTGTAAAGCCTCCATTGTGATTTTCAGGAAGCTGGTGATGCTGGTGGACGTCAGAAGCACACTACATTGCTGTAACTGGCTGATGGGATTTGAGATCCAGATAGTATATCTCATCAGGGGCTGTACCAGAGAAGTCAGATTCTTGTCTTCACAGGGAGGTAGTTACACTTGCAAGAGGGGTGCACAGTCCTGCTTCATTCTTTTATGCCACTCTGTGTCCAGAGCAACCTCATGTTAGACTCAGCTTAAGGTTTACTACTGATTTGCTGAAGAAAACAGGCATATCCTAGTTCTGTGCTCCGATTGCTGTTTTATACAGTGATAACACCATTATGTTTGATGGGCTGTGCCAGCTGTTTCAGAGCAACAACACCAACTGTGAGAGGGCTTGTGAACACCATTTATCTGATTGATAGATGGGAATGGATACTCTTTTAGCTCCATAATCTGCAGTGTTTTGAGCCAAAAACTAAATGGTGTGCAAGAGATAGGAATAAAGCATATGTGGTCAAGAGTTAGAGCAGAGGGCAGAGTAGGACAAAGGCAGAGTCAGCAACAGCAAGGTAGGAACAAATAGGAGCACTTTTTCTTTGAAGTCCTTTTGGATGCCTGGATTTGGGTGTTCTTTCCTTCTTCTCTGTTATTTTAGCCTTGTTAGAAAGTTGAGCCATATAGCAGAGTTCATTTGAACACTGGTGGGCAATCTAGGAAAGGCCTGTCCTCACATGCATAAAAACTGACAGTAACACAGTATTTCTTCAGAAACACAGGAAATAAGAATAGACCTTTACAGAGAGTTTCTGTTATCTGTTCACAAAAAGGGCAGGTATGGGAGTAGCTTCCTGCTTAAAAAGAACAGAGGCATTTTGTTTCTGGTGACCTGTCATGGTAAAGTTGCCTACATGCATCTTCATGACTCCAAACTTCCAAGCTGCTATTTGGGCAGGATCATGAGGCTGTCCAGGCACCGTCACTGCAGTGATCACACAAAAAACTTTAAATTGCAAAATTCCATTAACTTCTTGAATGTGGGTGAAATGGTGTACCCTTCACACAGCTCATGTTGGGTTGTTCCATTCCCAAGACATGTTTGTGTAAGTTCCTATTTCTCTTATGAGTAACTTCAGTAAAGGAGGCTGACCATGTGACAGATACTGCTGTTCTACCTGAGTCACACTAAGGATGAATAAATGTAGTACTACATCTCATGGTAAAACATCTCATGTGTGAGTACATACTTGTGTATGTCAAACAGTGCCAGGGCAAGTGCAATAAGTGACCCAGCACCCTATTGCTACAGGGCTTCTAACAGCACCTTGCCTTAGATATCCCATTCTCTTCTTTCACAGATCATTTAGTTTGGTTTATGTGTTGCCCAAGGGCAATTTCAAATCTTCAGCTTCATTTGCGAGGAGAGCTTTTGTTGTTGTTTTAAATAAAAGTTCCCTGCCATGTGAGCACAGATCCCATGTTCAGGGTGGAACATCTTAATAGTCCTAATTATGTTCTGTTCATTAAACTGCATTAACAGAGCCAGCTGTTCCAGGAGCTTTGTTTATATTACTTACTTGTCTAATTGGATCAGTAATGGTGCTTGCATTGGCATATGGGTTTGGTACCACTCTGTGATAAGAAGGAATGGAATTGTATTTTTCCTGTGAAAACATGCTACAGACTTTAAACTGATGAAAAAAAGAAAATCACATGGAGTTGCCTTAGAAAGAGTTACCACCCTTTTTCAACACTTAATTTGTTAAACAGGACTTAGTCCTTAGAAAAGCAGGGAGATTACTCAGCCCTCAGAGACCATGGGAGCAGTTGCTGTCAGTTTAAGTGGAAAATACTCTGTGGTGGTACAAAGTACTCAGAAAGCTCTAGGTTAAAAGCAAACAAGCAAAGATAGACATGCACAGGCACAGGCACAGACAGTTGAGTCCAACACATGACCCTGGTGCTGTCAGCCTCCCAGTATTCTGGAGCCAAGCTAATGCTTGTTATCTCTTTTTCTTACCCTAGAATAACCCCAGCAATAAATTGGTGAACACCAACAGCACTGTCACAGCAACACATATCAAGAAGTTTACTTTTGTTTGCATGGCATTGTCCTTAACGGTAAGAAACCTTTGTTCAGCTCTCTGGCTTTCATCTAAACCAGAAAATTATCTCCTCTACCTAATGCATAAAGTACTGGCAGTTCAAGAAAGGTGAGTTGTCGTTTCTTATAAAGCTCTGTTGCTTTTATCTGGAGGAAAGAGTGTGATCATAGTACTGGAGTACTAAGAATTTGAGCCATCATTCACTCAGGTTTAAGGACTGGAGTTATTGTATTTAATTCTCACTACTTTTCAAGTCAGCCTCCACATGCAAGGAGGTATCAGATACCTGATTGTCTTATTTTTCTCTTTATTATTTTAATGAAAAAACTTTTGGTAACCAGCACATCAGGAAAATGAAAAACTGCATTTGACTTGTGCAGTGGGATGGCATCCTGTCCTCAGCATCCTTCATCTACTGTGGATGGTGGGAAGGGCTCAAATGTGTCGGAACTGCTGTAGCTGTTCCCTTCTGCCTTGCATGGCACTGGTCTTCCAATCTGAGGGTACTGTCATGCATGTTGGTTTTGTTCGCTCGCAGAATGAACTAAAAGAGGCACTCTCAGAGATGGGGCTGACAAAAGGATCTAAAGCCTGGTGTGTGCTGGGAAGCATTGCAAAGGACTCACATTTTGCATAGGGGAGAAATTCTGATGAGCCTACAAAATTACCAGTTTGCACACATAAGTACAGTGCATCTTCCCCAAGGAAACTTCTTCTGCACAAGTCTTTTCAGCAACAGGCAGGAAGGTGTGGGGGAAAACTCATGCAGGTGGTGGGGATCATAGCAAATAATGGAGCAAATGACTGAGGTAAATGCAGCTTACTGTTTCTACATAGGATGGGCTTATGTTAATGTTTGGAGTGCTTGGAGGTCAAGCCGTCTTCTTCCCACTGCAGGTGGACTTGCACTAACAACCTGTGACAGACATTAGCAGCTTTGTGACTCATACACAGTTTCCTAAGAAGTTCTGGGCTGGCTCCTGTCAGGGCACTGCCAGGTGCCAGGACCACCAGGGTCAGCCGTGGCAGGGCCCAGCAGCCAGTGCCTCCCCCACCCCCCAGCCAGGAGCAGGGCAGCTGGGGGGCACCAGAAGAGCTGCAGCCCTGGGCATCAGGCACTTCCCAGGGGACAAGCAGAAGCCAGGCCAGAACATAGACCCCTGGGGTGGGCCCGTGGCTGGACAGGACAGGGTTGTGGGGAGCTGGAGACTGGTCCTGCTGCAGCATTGCTGGGGCAGGGGATGATGGCCCTGGGGGGCTGCAGTGGGCAGGTGGGGCAGCTTCTAGGGGGACTGGTCCCTAGGCAGGGACGGTCAGGGCTGGGAGTGCCCTCAAGGCCGTGATAGCTCCACTCCTCAGTACCTGCACTAGCAAGGCAAAAGCCAAGGAGAACCTAGGAAATTAGTTTCTCACAGAAAAAAATCCTTCTTCATACTAGAAAAAGTAAGTGGAAAATGCTGCAATTGGTTTAGGAGGCAATGCTCAGAGTCCTAAAATTGAATTGGTTCATACCCCAGGAAGGTTTTCTCTTTAGCCTCAGCATTGCATACATTGCATGGGGTAGCTGGCTGCTTTGTAACTCTCTTCTCCCCACAAATTTACTGTTGAGTAACGCAGGGTTGACATAATTTATCTGTCTCCCTCATTTAAGTGTAGAGCCTTTTTGACTGAGTTGCGCGTAGCCTATGCATGAAGAAAAACTAACTTACATCAAAGGAAACTTTACAGTACACAAACCTGAAGTATTTGCAACCACCCCCAACCCCTGATCACAATCTAGGAAAGTGGGATAAAGTGCTCTACATCTTATTTCATGGTTGAAAATTAGGGGATTTAATCCATCCATAGCTGAATTAGGAGATTTTTTTCTGCTCTTTTATTTCCTGTACTTTTCTCCTAGACAGTTACAACTGGCCACCATGAAAGACAGAATTGCCTGAGCCAATGTGGCATCTCTTTGTCTATTAATTTCCTAGATTAATCTTGAACTCTCTTTTCATGTGTTTGGAGACCAACAGCTCTGGCTCTAACTTGTATTTTCTACACCATGTAATGGAGACAGACATGTGCCTGCACTGAATTGGCCATTGTCTGGAGACTTTCCATGGCTCTCGTGTTATCTTCTGTCACACACCTTGAGGTTTCCTCTTGTGTTCTTTGCCAGGCCAAGCTTATATTCTTTACAGCTGGAGGCTCCCTTGAAGTCTGTCAGTGTTGTTGGAGACCCATGATGGGGAAAGTATTCCTCTTTATCAATTGTTCTGAGAATGCTATTTCAAACTCAAAGCTTTCTCTGAACTGACTGTTTTAACCCTTCTGGGCTTTTACCAGCTTACTCAAGTTCTGAGAGATCATGAGCTTCTTGCTTTACCAGCACCATCCTCTGTAGAGTAATTTTTAGTTACTCCAATAGATTTTTTTGTAACTTGTTTTTTGAAAAGTTCTCCATAGTACTTCCAAGGGCAGTTCTTTCATAAGCTCATCATGAGAGATTTGTCCACACTGAAATTCCAGAAACACTTTTGAGGTCCATAGCTTTTCCTGTCTTGTTTCTATTTTTGCCTACCAGTGACAGATTCTTAGGATGGCTTGTCAACAGACAGAGAAGAAAATAGACACATGAGCTGTAAAGGCTCCATTTGATTCAAGAGCTTGAGCCTGCCAATGGTTCAGCACACAAGCTCAGTAGACATTGGTATGACTCAAGTTATCATGTGCCATGGGTTCTAAGGAGCTGGACTTCAAATTTGCCTCTGTTGCAGCCAGGTCAGATGGTCACTCTGTCTGAGCTCCTGTGGCCATCAGTGACTTTTTCTGGAGGGGCTCTACTGCAGCAAATGGCAGTCAGACTAGTGGTGTTGCTGTTGTTAACATCTTGTTCTTGATGATCAGAGAGGAACTGGAAAACAGGTGTTTAAGACTGGCCAAGATATCAAAAGAAGGCAAATACTTAGACCTCATATGAGTCTTTCCTCCTGGAGAGGATACACAGAAGAATTCCAGAAGATGGGAAGATAAAGCGAGTTCATTTACCACTGGAAAAAATAAGTGAAATTTTTAATATGAGCAGAAACTATGCAGGAAAGTCTCCTTCCAGTGTAAAAACCTGGGAAACCTCCCAGTCATATGCTGTTTCATGGAGTTGGAAGAAAATGTCTTGCCTCATTCCACAGACCAGTCATGACTGCACAAGAAGTACTGTAAGCCTACTACAACAACAGAAGCACTTTTTCACCCTTGTTGAGAGAAGCAGCATTTTGTCAGAATTGGGGGGGGGGGGGGGGGAA